TTTTCAACGCTATAAAATCGATTACCCAACAACGTCACGTCAACAACAGCACGATTTATAATAAAACTATTATAACCGTTATGGTGATGCCTGCCGGTGGAAGTTGCAGATAAGCCTAATAAATTGTTACGTAAGCCTTGAATTGTGTGTCTCTTCCGTTAGGTATTTTCTCGCAACATTATAATCTAAATACTTCAATACTTCGATGGCGCATTGTAAAAATACAATCAAAAGCGAATCTCTTATAACATTTTGTATGCTCGTCATATACGTTAATGAGCTTTTCAAATACTACGGTTGCTTATTTAAACTCTGTTATTCGAAGAAGAAATAAGACACTGTTCAAAAACAAAATAAAGCTTATTTGCCCTGTTTCCAAGTACGAAAAACTACAAACACGGTTTAATAAACAAAGTACGATATTAAACCAGTGACTGCGTTTAAAAAAACATACCACGTCGTTAACGTCAAATTACTCGAATAACTACTCGAAGTTTCCATTCACACGGTTAGCGAGTAATATTTTATAATTATTTTGTTTTCGTTCAACCGAATTATAATCTGTGATTCAATATTTTTTCCGTCGAAAAATTTACATTTAATATTCTTATTATTATTTTTAAACTTCGCTATTGGCTTATTAAATTTTTTTATGGTTTCTTGCACAAGTAGAACACGACGATATGTATGTATCTAGATCTCATAAAATTATTGTTTTTTTTCTCTTTCTATAACAAGTCATTAACTGCGAACATCTTCGCATTAGGTAATTTCAATCGGTGTTACACGGAGTAAACTTGTTTTGGCATCATATAATCAGGAGATATCTGAGAATATGAGATTATGACGATGAAAAACATATCAACATGCAAGAGTATTAATTTTAAATGGAAAAAGTTGTTTCAACTGTATCATCATTATATATACATATATATTCATATTATACAGCAATGTTATAATTACACGTGGTGTTTGGTTTTCATCTCTCAAACAAAGGCATCGTTTTAATATGTACGATTAACATAATCAAAGTAAAGCGAATAAAACTAAAAACCTTATAAAGTGAAAACTTATTATTCACCATGTTTGGGATCGGTTAAAATATTTTATACAATTAATTTGAAAAAACTAACATTTTTTTTTTTTTCTTTAATTCTATCGCGTCGTATATTTGATGAAGCTACTAAATTGTTTGAACAAGAAATTAAAAATATTTTTATTCATTTTAACTTAATTTTATTGCCGTTCATTAATCGTGGTATACGATTTAAACCATGACTTAAATGAATACTAGGTATAAACAGAGATAAAACATTTTTTTTTCCAATAAGAAAATATTTTGATATATATTATATTATATTTGATAGTGAGCAAAACATATGGAACAGAAGGAAAAATATTGAACCAATGGAATTTACTGAAGTTCCATTATTAAAGAGTTGTATTAAGTGTCAAAGACTCAAGTGGTTTAGTCCGTACTATGCGAAAAACAGAAACTACTAGTAAAAGAGCAGCAATCGAAAGGCAGCCGACTGGAAAAACCCGAAAGGAAGTCCTAGGAAGCGATTGTTGGATGAAATAAGAAAGGATTTAGAAACACTTGAAGTAACAGATTGGGAATCGTAATTTCAGGATCGTAATGTTTAGAAAACGGTAACGGTAGTGGCCAAAATTCTTACAGTATTGTAAAGCCAAGAAGAAGAAGAAGAATAAAATGTTCATGTAATTTACATTTAATATTTAATATCATGTAAATAATTGATAGTAATTAATTAACTAGATTTAAAAAATGTAAAAAGTCGCCTTTTAATGAGTAATTATTTAATGTAATTATTTTTGATGTCATTTAAAGTTTTGTGAGCATGACTAATAATATTTGTACATTTATTGTTTCATTCACGCGTAGATTTTGTCTTCTGAATAACGGCCGCTTATCGCGGACCAATCAGACGATGACGATCGTACCGCCACGAATATACGATGATCTGGTGTTTCGCTGTTTTTAAGTATATCCTAAAAGTGTTTAACTTGTAATCATTAATAAAGTACATAATACATTGATTATTTTGGTGTCCGTACTTGTTCGCCCGGTGTATTAAACTATCCTTACAATCGCGTCCGTAAACCGTACAGCCCCGGCGACGTTACTACAACAATATTCGATCCCCGTTGTTGTTTTCGATTCGTACGACATTTTACGTCGCAGTGTCTACAGGGTGCACACCATATGCGCAACAGGGGGGAGGGCAATAGGGTTTTTAGTACCCCTGAATTCAAATGTGGCACTCTTGTTTTTTTTCTTCAGATCTATGTAATCTATTGTAGTTACAGTTAAATACCATTTTATTTTATTTACAGCGATTTCAGCACCCCCAATATTCGAGTTCTAGTTACGCCCACGGTGCACACGTTTGCGGGGCTGAGGTTCGAAGGGTGTAATATTATCGCGCATCCATGTGACACCGTCGGCGCGCACGGTGTACACGTATAATGATAGCGGGCACGAGGACGAGCGAGTTCAGCGAACCGTGAACCGGTGTCTGTGGCTAATTCGCCGTGAACGCGCGGGGAGTAAATCTCTCCTCTCCGACGACGGGCGTGTGTCTCCTTGGATACAAGCTCGGCCAGGGCTTTTGACATCGGTCTGGAAATACCTGTCGACAGGTGAAAGAGTTCGAATTGATTTCCTGTCAGGAATGCGTCCCCATCGCCGTCCACGTCGCCGTCCTTGTGCGCGTGTGTCCGGGAACGGGTCGAGATCAAAACATCTGTAGACACTAGGGGTTCTCGTGGTCACAATAAGGAAATGGCGCACGTGTTATAGGCATCAATTTTTCTCCTGCCCGATCACGGGAACAATTTCTAAGCGATTCGGCGATAAACGAGAATAACAATGTCGGAAGCCCACGCCGTACCTAATTACCGGTTTTCAAACTCGTTTTAAAAACGATAAATTATACATAAAAGTTTCATTTACGATTTAAAGAGAATTTAGTAAACCGTATAATATGCTTGGAAACCTAAAATTATAAAACCTTATGTTCTATATTTTTTAGACCAAGAGCCTACTAGTTTGCCGCCGCAGTTGATATGATAATAATAGTACTTTTCGTTGGGATTTGGTACCAAATATACGTACATCTAAATGTATTTATAAATAATCTAAATAGCATGCATAATTATGTACAAGTATAACAGCCAATAAGTAAGGATTTTTCCTAAATCGCATTTCTAATGGACAAAACAGTTTTGAGCTCTGGATGTATACATTTTTCACCTTTCGGTTTTCTCGGGAAATATTTTATTTTACATGTTGATTTTAACGATTAGCGATATAGGTGTACATCAAATAATATAATATGTATTAACGAAATATCGTTAAAATATTCATCGATTGTGGGTTTAACATATTTTATTTATTTATTTTTTTTACATCGAAACTGTTCCAATTTTAAATATCAAAATATTTCCCGAGCGTGATCGTGTAATCCAGCTAGTATTTCGATAAAAATAACACTGGTTGGCACTACTTGGCACACTAATGGTTCGTTCATCTTGTTGTGTTCAGATAAATATTAACACTTTTAGCGTTGTAAAATCACGTCAAAAATAAAACCATAGGGCAAGTAGATCTTATCTCTACCGCGGCCCTTGTATACACCCTTGCGTTCGTGTTTGGACGGCGAGGAATCGGTAGGGTCAATGGACAAAAGCGTCAAGGTACATATTATAATGTAGTATCGGAGGAACGCATTGTGCGAGGAAAATATTATATTTATCATACGTACGTCTGTAGAGGAATAAAGTAATAACGACGGGACGAAAGGCCCTCTCGAAAGTGTCCGGTCAGTTTTCCAGGTGGACCGGTAGCTGACAAATTGCGTTTCTTTGTCCGCGCAAACCCTCAAAACCGTCCACCCCCACGCGCACGCATGACACGTTTTGCCAGGGTCGGATCTCTGGAATGATTTCCGCGCGCCGCGCGATGAACGGGGACGAGGGTGGATTTGTGATTTCAGAAATACATATTTTATTAACGTTAACGTTTTTAGTGGTCGTTGTCAACGGCATTGTTGTCGCGCGCGATTTGAATGCGCTTCAAGACCGTGCGGGAAAACGTTTGTGCGTAATACAAAGGTTAGATTCTATAGGAATCACAATGTACGAGTGTACACTTGCGCGTATTTTTCGGTCGAATCAATATTTAAAGTTATTATTATCGTCATCGAGGATCGCGAAGAATACGCGCGCGCACACACACATTGTCAGCCGGCGACAATACGCTGCCCGCGACAACCCCCTCCACCTGCCCCTCGGTCCACGGGGACCGAACAGAAGCCGGCCGACGACAATACCGTACAACGGCCGCGAACACGTCGGCCGCGGGGGCGTGTTATTGTTGTACGACAACAATAATAATATTTAACATTCGGTGTACACATTTTTATTTTTTCCTTCCACAACTCGCCCGGATTCCTGTTCGTTATTATCGCGAGATTTCGCCCCTGCGCGCACGGTCCCGCGGCCGACGTCGACGGGCTAAGATTTAATACGGATTTCTCGCCCTCCGCAGCCCATTCAACGAAATCGAATTTCACTTCAAGCGCACAATACTCGAAAACGTCGTTTGTATTGAATACTTCGACCGACGTGCATATTTTACCACACACACACACACATACACACACACGCGCGCGCGCGTGTGTGTGTGTATGTGTGCATAATAGCGGTAACGACGGACATCCTGTTCGTTTGTGTCGAACCCGTTTGGCACGGAAACATAATATAATAATACGAAATCATAATGGTGTGCAATATGTTATCGCGGTGACCAATAGAAATTCAGCGCACGGTACGTTTGCAATAACTACAGGATAACCGTTCGCTAGGATTTATTCGTTCTTTTTCGAATCTCGTCGAAACGCCCGATACGTGTTTTCACGATATCTCATACAAACGCGGTGATATTCGTAGCGTTATTGTTATTGTTAAAAAGTCACCTGTACAATTATTACGGGTTTTGCCGTGTCGGTTTACTGTTGAATCGATTTGTTCAAAGGTATTGTGTTATTCGTAGCAATGTTCAAGTGCTAACCGTTGCAGCCACAGCGACGCTGATTGTCAAACTCCGGTACATAGTAATTCTTTCCAGCACGTCTGTAAACAATTTTTCGATCATTATTATTTTAGTGACGTGTCCGATTAGTGTTAATTAGATATTGATAAAAAAATTATTCGGAGAAGAGAAAATTATTAGGTCAGAAAGGTATCCACATCCTTATACCAGATAATTAGAGGATACAAGGGGCAGTAAGGTTTTTATACGATATGGTTGTGATAATACTTTTTGCCAATAAAGCATATTTTTATGTATTATCGACTAGTCAACGTAAAATTATAGTACTTTTGAATTCCGTACAACGTGCCCCAATGGTCGAGAATTAACGTTTCAAAAGACATTGCGAAATTAAATACACAAATGCTAAACGATTTCATAAAATAGTGTTTAACCATGAGCGCAGAGTAATATATTTATATTTATTTTAAAAGAATTGTTCCTTAAACAAGAATTAATCATTTTTAATGAATTTAATTCAGGTTGAAATATTATAATAAACAAGAGCAATAAAAAAAAAATGAATTCCTCTTGCCGCCTGTTGAATGATTGTTGAAATTTTATTATTCATTTTTCAGAGAGCTTAGCAATTTCAGCTTAGCATTTCAAATAAAAAATAAAACATTTAATTTATGATATATATATATGATATAAAAATGTACTTAGCTTAACCCACTTTACTTAAAAATATTAGAGGATAAAAACTACCATATTTCTTTTAACCGAAAAAAAATGTAGTACATTTTTCATTGCAACTGTAAATTATGTAATTCATTCGCTTTTTGTTGTTATATTAAACACTTACTTTTAACTGTTATTTTGTTTACAGTGCATTTAATACGATTTAACTGTCAAAAATTGTTTTACAAAAATTTCAAAACTTGATTTCAATCAAATTTTTTGTTAAAAAACAGAATAAAAATAATTTTCTCAAGTTAAAAACTGACTAACTTCAGAGTTAAAAACATTCCAACCGACAAATTTAAGCAAAGAAACCTTGCCAATGCTGATGATATTTTATATTACTGTTGACGATTGCAATACTTAATTTCAGTTATTCGCAATAACAATACAAATAATATTATCCGTTACAAGTAAAATATTAAACCATTCGGAGTGGAGGAAAAACTTATTGTAAACTTCTTTCATTGTTACGAATCAATCTATACAAAAAATATGTATGTACAAAATATAATGATAACGAATCACCACTGTATTCACTACTGCCGATAACATTAAACGCGTTGCATTCTTTCCAATGCCGAACATTCGTATTTCATTCGTTTGCCAACTCTAACCGTCTTGATTAATGTTCGGATTTGTTTTGTCTTTTCTCGTTTTTTAACCAGGCGTGAAAGTCGCCCGTATAAATTACCAACACAGCGTTTTTTTTTCTTCTCTCGCGCTCGTAGATTTGCATTCGGCGAGGGAACGAAAAAAGTATTAACAATCTTTTCTGCGCGTTGTTTCTGTAACGAAACCCTTTTGTCACGGTCGTGAACCAGACGATAATTATTTTACCCCTATATATATATATAAGCGCACGCGTATATAGGTGGTGTTCTCGAGGAAAACCTCGAGGAACGGGGTGTGCGGCGACGCGACGGTTTAACGGGACGGGCGGGGGCGGGTAGATAAAGGGTTAGGTAGCACGCAATTTATCAGCCATTGCAGGGTTTTGAGCGATTAAAACACGAGTCGGCAACAACAACAACGGACGTGAGTTGGTAGACGAGGTCTGGAGTAGCGGAGAGCTGTGTGTACGGAGAAAAGAGAACGAACGATGTATGGGCGGCGGAGAGAGTGGCTGCGTGGCACACGAGTGAAAATGCTGATGGGTTCTAATCCTTCCACCAGGCTTTTGTCTCTTTCTTCCAGCCGACCGTCCTCCGCACCTATACACACGCGCGCTCACACATACACGTATATATGTATATATGTACATGAATATTTATACGCCATTCGTTGGGCTTAAGTGTCTTTAAACATTTCGTCGTTGTCGTGTACTTAGCGCGTACTTTTGTGCCCCCCCCCCCACTGCGAACGTTACCGGAGCGCGCTTGTTTTAATCCGCGGAAGCCCTAATTTTGGCTGGCAAACCCGAAGTCGCAATCCTTCAGCCCGCCGCCACTAGTGCGTCAGTCACTTGCCGTTAAAACGCTTCCGGTAGTGCGTCGAAACGAGGCGAAGAGAACAAAAGGGAAAAGAAGAAAAAAAAACAGAAAACAAATAGACGAGCGGGTTGAAGACCTGTGTACACTCAAGCGCTTGAATAACCAGGTACTGCGCCGCGCGAACGCTCTGATGGGTTTACATATTATATACGTATATGTATCTAAAAGAAATAAAAGAAAAAATAAAGAGAAACCGAGTTACGCTGGCAGTTCCAGCAGTACGAGGTGGATTCTATTTATTCGGATGCACCAGATAGAACTGACAAAACATATCTCATTTCGCTAATTCTCGCCAAAATACGATCAAATAATGGCATTGCATTGGCCGTTGCCAAATTCATCTGGAACTGCAGCATCTTTATTAGATTGAGACAAAACAGCTCATTCAGCATTTAAGCTGCCACTGAGTAATCAAAACAATCTAGACGCAGTTTGCAACATAAAAAGAATAATCGTCAGTGTTGAAAAAATGCAAAATCATCATTTGGGATGAATGCACACGGACATTCACTTGAGGCGTTAAACGTGACATTAAAATATTTAAAAAAAAACGATAATCTCTTCGGCGGCAGACGGTTACTCCTTTCAGGTGATATCAGACAAACATATCCCATCATTCCACGTTCAACGTACGCTGATGAGATCAACGCTTGTTTGAAATCATCGCCACTGTGGCGTAATGTTGAAAGACTACAGCTAAAAGTAAACATGCGCATTAAAATGCTTCAAGATCCATCCACTGGCACATTCTCAAAACAACTGTTAGATATCAGCAACAGAAATGTTGCTATAGATAAAAGTACTGCATATTGATTAGGCATAGTGATTAGTGCGTAAGTTCCCAAAAACGATTTTGGTTTTGATTCAAATTTTTTGGACTTTTTACAATATTTTTTTATTTATCTATTTTTTCATTCTGCCTGTAACGAAAAATCAGCTTGGATTCCGTTATAAGGAGGTGTGAATACACGATGACATGCGTGTAGGGTTCATTTGTCTGCTGTTTTTTCGCATAATATTGTTTATTCATCGAGATCGCCTTACTAGCACTCTTTTTTTTCGCGCTCTACTACGTACTATCGGTTCGGATCGGTTTTAGCATATAGCGCCTACTGTGCACGACGAATTTACATATATTTCCCGACTAATCCGATTTTCTCGACTTTTTGTCTCGGACCCGAGCACACCAACGTCCGACAACTGATCTCATGACGTGTGGAAGGGGTGTGGTGACCGGGAAATAGCCGTGAGTGTCGCATCTAATCCTCATATTATACTCGTATATTATATAAACTATACGGTTTTCCCGTACACCGGTCAGCGCCGCGCGCAGCAGCACATATGCGTATAATTTATTCATCGTCGAAATCTCCATTCAAACTACTCCCACGTGCACCGGGTATCATGAGAACGTGCACGCGGCATAGGTATAAAAGCATCGACGTAAAAACGTCCATGTGAGTGCGTGCAGCGCACACATCAGACGGGCTTCTTAGGTAATTCTCTTGGTCACGGACGGTTCAAAGGGAATTTTAAACGTGACATGTTTTTCTAAAGGATCCTGTTTTTTCGACCCTACGGGCGCGACGAGAGAAGAGAGAGAAAAAAAAAAAACGCGTACCGTAACGACATCATGCCGACCTATCGGCGTGACGTAACAACGTACACGGCACGCTAAATCGTGATTTTATCACCCTCCCCGAAATTACGTATTAAAATATTGCGCGTTCGCAAATGTATTCCGTTATTAAACGCGTTGTTGATTTCCCTTACCGTAAACGTTCAAACAATAGTGCGCGTCGTCGGCGGTTCATGACTTTTTAACGATTCGTCTGATATCCGTTATGGTGCTCGATGAACGTAATATTATTTTCAGTTCTCGTGTAAACCGCTGTGGACGATTTTCCTCGTTTTTTTAATACGCTGTTGTCCGAACAATGTAGATTAAGAGCGCGTGAAACATGCATGCCCGAGTACTTGTTAATTTTATCAATATTGTGAAACTCGATTTTAATTTGTTATTATTTTAAATAATACGTATAATTCGTTTTAACCCCTTATCGTGTTGCAGAAATAACAATCAAATTAAGAGCTCGCACCATATTTCAGATATTATTACTGCGTTAAGTACAATCATTGGCAGAATTAAGGTGTGTACTTATTCTGCATAGCAAACATATTTGAAATATTCTTGTTAGATTTCTCTTGTCAAACAATTTCATATACTGAAACTGTATTATCTTTCACTTGGAAATCTTCGAAGAGAAAATGTAAGGATGAATTTGCCAACAAAATTACTGAAAAAATATTCGTAACTAAGTACAAAAAATAAAATAAAAACATCGGTTTTAATATATTCCTTAAAAGTGGAAGGCTTCTTTATTCATTATGGTATATTTAAATTGTATTATCGGCTACAATTTTTGGGTCGAAATAAAGATCTAAAAGTTGTAAACGGGTCACAATTGAAAATCACAAACAATCAGTAATATTATAAAGTAAAAAACCTGTGTAACTTTCAACAGTTTTAATTTTTTCATTATTTGCGTACTGATATACCTACAATATATGATTCATTATAAATTAATATTAAATCAGTCACATATAAATACGGACATATTTTTAATGAAAATCTTAATATTTATTGTTTTAATCGTTTTATCAATGATTTTTTTTTTACAATAATATATTTTTGTTCTTGTTTAGTTCAACTTGATTTTCAAAATATCAATTATTTGTTTTATGCCGAAATTTAAAAAATCTATTTTAAACGAAAAAAAAAATATCCATAATAGTTTCAAGTCTTTGATATTAATTATAAACTGATATCACTTTATTATATGATGTTTAAAATGGATAAAACACAA